CCGCAGAAGTGCGTTTGTGGTGCTTTATATGTGTGCACGTGCGCCTGGCTGCTTACGTTCGGCGATGGCAGGGCGGGGAGCGAAAGGTGGCAAAATCTGGCGCGCGTGGTGGGGACCCTCTACGAGGCCGACAACATACACTTCCCAGTAGAACACTTCCTCACCCTGCACATGCTCACCGCCGCCCTGCACTCCGCGCTCGCCAACCCCGTTGGCCTCGCGACTAGCGCCACCGACGACAACACGGCGCCCTTTGTAACGGAGGCGGAACGACAGATGAAGCGAGAGCCCGACAGGCTAAACCAGGAGGACCTGAAGCCCAAGCAAGGCGAGGATGCGTGGGGGCCGCAAGAGAAAGGCGACGGCGGAGAAGCAGCATACGGTGCCTCTATGAAGTTGGATGCGGAGGAGCCGCGTGCGGAGAAGCGCGATCATCAGGCCATGGCTCTTATCGCAGATCCTTCGCCGGGTCTCATCGGCGCTGTCCGTCCCGCCAGTTCCCCGGGAGGGAGGCCCGCGGATGACGGAGGCGGTGGGTCGGCCATCAACCACAACACTGAGAACGGAGCGATAGGAAGCCCAAACAGCAACGAGGAGACAGTTCCCAAGGACCCACCACCGAAGAAGCCCAAACGTGAAGAAGCTGACACCAGGAATGGAAAATGAAGCTCGTGGTGGCTGGCCGCCATCCTCTTTGTTCTTGGAATATGCGACAATAAATTATGGCTACCGAATTTTTCGAATTTTTTGCGGCTGCACACTCGTTATCTCCCTTGCTCTGAAAGCTCTTGACCTACCGTTTTTTTCAAACGGCGCCGCAGCGGATGGGCCCCAAGATGCGATAGGGCTCAGCCCTGTAGGAAGCCTCATTAGGCCGCTAGGATCCTAACACTACCGCAAAAGCGAGAGCTCTTGTTTTCTCGCTTGCCTGGTAAGCTGTTGACCTCGCAATCGATTCCAAATGCGCCGCAAAGAACGGGCTTCAAGAGGTGATAGGACTCAGCCCTGTAGGATGCCTAGTTGGGCCTCTACGACCTCTCCTTTTTGGAGTAAATTTGCAATTTTCAAGGCCACTCAACCGAGACAGCGAAAGCCACACGGAGACCAGGACCTTAGGGAATGCTATCGGACTTACTTAGTCAACCAGTTGAACTCCGGTGTACACCACACCATCACACAGAACACTAAGTCTAAACAAAATTACTCCTCGTCGTATAGACAACATCACCTATACGATCACACCTTTTAAAAGGCCACCTGTGGTCAGCTATTCTTGTACCTTCATCTTTAAGAGAATACACGTCTTTACCACTACTCTAGCCTAAAAGTACTGTCGAACAAATGCAACGAAAACTCGTAACACTCGTTAAACGCGTTTAACTCTTTAACTAGGGAGATGGCTTGTTTTCGCGGACATCGCGATCTCCCGCGGACATCGCGACCTCCCGCGGACATCGCGATTATCCGCGGACATCGCGATCATCCGCGGATAATCGCGACCTCCCCGCGGTGAAGAGTAGGCGGTCCGCGGGAGATCGCGATTATCCGCGGACATCGCGATTATCCGCGGACATCGCGGCCGGCGACTCATCCCCTGTAAAACACTGATTAAACTGTCGCTAGACCTGCGCACTCGTTGAACGTGTGGGCCACTCGTGAAACGAGTGGAGAATGTGTGTAACGAGTAGAGAACGTGTGAAACGAGTAAATAACGAGTTAAAGGAGTATAAAAACGCGTAAAAAATGAGTAAAATGACCA